GTTAAATTAGAAGATAAAATTTGTAGGATGTAATTAGGTTTTTAAAATAATAAAGAAATTGTTCAAAAAAAAATAAAAAATAAAAAAATAAAAATAAAGTTTTAAAATTAATCGAGAAAAAAAAAATAAATAAAGTTTTAAAAGTGTTCGAGAAAAATAAATCTGTTTCTAAATTTGTTTTGAAGAATTGTTTGAGAAAAAAATAAATCTGAGTCTAAAATTGTTTAAAATTCGATGTATTTTTATCAGGTTTTAAAAATTTTCACCAAAAATTCTAAGTTTTGAAAATTACAATAAAATAAAAATTGAAATAAAAATTGAAAATTTTTTTTTTTTTTCCCAACTTGAGCGATCATGCCTGAAATTTATTAAAAAGAAGTATTTTTTTAAAAAAATACATATAAGATGCAAATTATATATGTCCTAAAACTAATCTACAATAAGATCCCTTTTTATGTTAATTCTGAACTCACACAGCTGCCAAAATGGTGCCCAAATACAATCTGCTTGCAGAAGTCCTTTTTCTTTCCAAAGTAACTCTCCTTAAACAAGATATTATCTTCAGATTAGTGAAGGCAACTTCAAGTCCCATAATGATCCTAGATCCCTTCTAACCTAGTTAAAACTAAGCTAAAAGTAGTTAACACCTAGTCTCAAGATAAAAAAAAATAAAAATTGTTACTAATCTAAAAGCACTAAGCTTACTAACAAAGAAAAACTTGTCCCAAATCATAAAAACTTTGTTAGACAGTAATATAATAGAGAAGACAGAAAATAAAAGAAAAAAGTAATCAGATACCCTATAACCTGAGTTAGGTTTAAAAATTTTAAGTTGTACAACTTATAACCCATTTTGAATATTTCTCTTTCTAACGTACAATACATCCTTAAAATTTAGTACTTGTAGCATCAAGATCATATGAAAAACTAAACAAATAAACAAAGTACATGACTTTGTTTACTGCACAAGGTTGCACATCTACAGAGTATTTCTAAAAATAGAAGGAGTAAAAAATGCTGATCTTTTGTAGAGAAGAAACCAAAATCCTCACTTTTTGTCAAAAAAAAGAAAGACCAGAAGAGAAAAAGCTTGCGATATATTATTGTTTTGAAATCCAAAGGAGTGTGTAGACAAAATAATTTATTGTCCCCTATTCTTAAGTCTTCTTTTACCAACTTTGTTAACAAAGAGTTCTTTTTCATCTCTTTACTAAAATTTTTTATACAAGGGCTCCACCTGCTAGTTATCTTGTATAATATCGCTTTTAGCTTGCATATTAAATATATAAAGGAGTCCCCGAAGCACCAGTTGACCTCTATAAAAACCATTGTATTGTAAAAGAGCCTTCTTCATCGTTATCTCCAATAAATTTTTGTTTTTAGCTTTTTCAGATTTTTGGAAAAAAGGATCATCGGAAAGAGTTGGATAAGTGATAAAAATAAAAGATTAGGAGCTTAGCAGATCTCTTTTTTATTTAATAATAATTGTTGCTAAGCAACAAAATACAAACAAAAAATATATATTTATTTTTTTTTATACTATTTAATTTTATCTCTATTATATCTCTTTTGATCACTATAATCACTTCTAGTATCATCTTCATATCACATATAATTGTCTAAATTATACTCCTTGTTAGGATCATAGTCTAGATCATCTAAATAATACACAGAATTAAACTATATTTTATTTTCTTTGACTTAAAATAGATATGAGAAAGTAGAAATTTACTTATTATATCTATTTCTTCTATTTCTACATTGATGATTAGAATTAAATATTTTTTAACAAGGTTTTGAGTTAGATAGTATTGAGGTAACAGAATAGATAGTATTAGAAATATTACTTTTTTTTTTCCTTTAACAGTTGTGCTTTATGCATTTATTAGATAAAGAGTTACAGATAGCTAGTCTGTATAAGATTTAACTTAATACAAGAATTTATAGTTTCTTCCTATATATCTAATTTTCTAATAGAAAGCACTACTCAATCCTCTATTTGCATATATGCTCAAATATGACCTGTTATACTAAAAACCTCTTTAATATAAAGAAAAAGAGAAGTCTAGACAATTTTGTCTGACTGTCTAGAAAGATGGATATTGATAAAAGTAAAATAAAATTATTACATATAGTGAAAAGCAAGACTATATACTACATATAATATTCAAAGCAAAGTTAAGAAAACTTGCTAATAAGATAAAAACTTAACAAGCTAAAAAGAAAAGATACAAAACAAAAACAAAAAAAAAAAAGAAAATAAAAGACATCTTGTAAGAATTATAATCTAAACATACAATCCTGTTCAAAACTGAGTAGTTAAAAATTATAAATGCAAAATGTACTTATTTGCAAATATTTCTAATATTTAATAATGATTCAGTTATTTCGTTGAACATATGATAGCTCATTATTATTATAGTAACTCATAGTTTACATTGCAAAATAAAATCACATGTTTGTTATACTAACTCCAAAATACATACGTGTTTATTGTTGTTATATTATAAGCCTTATTTCCAAATTTATCAATGATATGTATACTAATCTTTGGTAGAGAGTAAGCTCCATTCTCTACTTTTTGTATAAAAAATACTCTAAGTTTGCCAAACAGGTGAAACCATTCTCAAGACTAATCAAAGGTTTAGAAGTGAGAGTAAGGATATCTAAAATAAACTTGAAAGGTATAAGAAGTGGTGTTATACTTGACTAGATGTTAACTACTTGTAGCTTAGTGTTAATTAGGTTATAAAGGACCTAGGATCTTGATAAGGCTTGAAGTCGCCTTTGTTGATCCAAGGATAATATCTTCTTCGAGGAGAGTTACTGCAGAGAGAAAACTGGCTTCTGCGGCAGATCGCACCTGGGCACCAACTGGCAGCCGAGTGAATCCTGAATTGTAAATAGAGAGATATAGTTATAGTTTAGTTTTAGGACTTTTTATAATTTGTATCTATATATCATTTTGATATTTCTCCGAATAAATGATGGGTAAGATCGCTCAAGATAAAAAAAAAAAAAAAAAAAAAATCTTTTATTTTTATACAATTTTTATAAAATAAAGAGGATCATGATATCTTGTACTATTATCTAAGAAAAAAGTTAACTTTAATATTATAATAATTTGGATATGAGACTTGTGAATGAATAGAGTTATATATTTTTAATATTTACTAAATACTAGTTTTTTAAATCTTTTTTATGTAGAGTAGTAGATACTTCTATTCTAGCTTTGAAAAATTTTACTTATGTTCTAAGAAATTTACTTTACTTATATTTTTATGTTCATTTTTCTAATAATTATAGCTATCTCATATTTCAAAGATAATATTATTTTACTATTTATCTAACACTTGTTTTAGAATTTTTTGAACTTTTGTTGCAAAAAAAGAATAATAGAATCTATATCTAATTTATTTTTAATAAGAATTTCCGAGATATGATCATTCATTAGATTAGATTGAGTATTTACCTTAGTCTCCAGTAAAGATTTGTTATTTTTACTTATCATATTTTTTGAATTAGAGATATGAGATGATTTAGTAGATATATTTGCCTTAATATTTAATATATTTTTTGAGCTAGATAGTTCAGTTATATATATATTTTATTTTGAAATACTAATTTTTCTTTGGCAATTAATTATATTGTTTAAATTTGCTAGTTTTTTTGAAAAACAATTTATAATATTTTGAATTTGATCATCTTTTAATTTTGAAATAGTATTTGCACTACAAGTTATTTGTCTAATCTTAACTATTCCTATTTTTTCAAAAATATATACACTTTTTTAGCTTTAAAACTTCTCTTATGCAAATTTATATTACTAATATTAGGAAAGAGCAATTTAATTTCATTATATATCAAAGTTCTTGCTAATTGATCATCAATTTTATTCTTAGATTTAATATTATTAACTCTATTTTTATATGTTTTAGTATAATAATACTAATATAAATTCTCTTTTTATCTAGTTTTTATTGCTATATTAAACAAATCTACTATAATCTGAGCTGTAACTTTATCAGAACCAATTAATATTTTTCTAGAGAAAAATCAGAAATTTGCATGTTTATTTCTTGTATAGTAAGATTTTTTTTAGCACAAACAGATAACTCATGCATTAGGCCTTGTTCTAATTTCTGATTATAAGAGATCTTTATTTTAAGAGAAATAGTATTGTATATTTGATTAATGAACATTTGCTTTGATTCAGCAGATATTTTTTGTATTGATTCTTGATCTTGAAATTTCTTTTCTCTATTTTTTTTTCTCATCATATTACTAATTATTTTCTTGTTTTGCAAATCCAGAAAATCATCAACTACCTTATTTTCTAACAATTTAGACTTCATATAGATAGGTGATATGAAGCATTGATTCTTTAATTCCTGGTATATATCTGGATTAGATGAGTAATTAGATGTATTTTCTATCTGTTTAGAAGTATTATTAGAATTTATTTCAGAAGAAAGATCATTTTGTATCTGCTCTAGATTTAAAGAGTCAATACTACCATTTTCATCAGAGTGACCATTAATATATGATAAAATAGGTATTTGTGAAGCATCATTAATAGTCTGATTTTGTTTTATGATTTGTTTTAGTCTTGTATTTTCGATCCTAAGATTAGAAATTTCTTGGATGATTTGTTTTAGTTTGGTATTTTCAGTTTCAAGTTTGGTAACTCGTTGTCTCAATAATTCAAGCTCTGATTACATGATTGATTAAAATTTTTATATAAGGCACAGATTTATTCAAAATAAAAAATCACGTGCGCGTTCTATTTCGAAACCCAGATCACTTTGCCAAGAAAAATTCACAATTATATACGAGTTATACATCGATATCAATACAATAAATAAATTCCCGAAATACACATGAAAAAGTAAACGCGATTATGTATGCGAAATCAGCCACCAGGGCTAGCTTTATTGATATAAAGAATATAAAAATAAAATGAAGATAAAAAATATACATATAAAACTTGCATTTCTTAACTATTCCCCATCCATAGAAGGATGTTCTGGAGTAGTTACAGTAATATTTGAACTTGAACTTCGTTTCTTGAGACGTTCTGATCTAATTCTCGATGAATGAAATAATAAAGATATGTTAACAATCATAATATTTCGTAAAAGCAACAATGCTTCTGCAAATTGCAACACATCTTCTTCATTGCGTGGTCGTACGGGAATTTTTACTGAGCGAAGATGAAAAAGGCGATGAATTTCATCATCATCTTTTATAAGGATATTTAAGTGCATCATATCTCCCGCAACCTGTATACCAAGAATTCCAAATTCATTTCTGGCAGGTATGCAACTTCTATAAACATAGCACAATCCGTCGTTCATTTCACACCATAATTTCACTTCATCGTCTTTTTTCTTACGCCCAGTACCAGGAACGGAGTGCAACGAAGTGCAAATACGTGCATCTTATTGGTTAGCATTTTTCATAAAGTGGATTTATATATCAACGCTTATCCTGTTTATTTGTGATTTTACTCATGATTTTCGTCTTTGTACAGTACGTTGCGTATTCAATGATTATCCATCTGCTTATATCATGTGTTAATAATATGGTTTCTGATTGGAAGATTGACGCATGAAAAATCCGTGCTTTTCCGAAAAATGCGAAAGTCCCCCATGCTATCTTCTGCATAATTTTCTCTATTTTCTAAATTGCCATCGATATTCTTTGAATAGTAACGAATGGCGACAACAAACCCTTTTATTCAAACTTTCAGACTAGGAAAAATATTACAGCTTTCAGCACCAAATGATGAAAATGTTCAAAAAAATTTTGAAAGCGCCTCGCACAAATGGCAAAGTTGCTTGAGTACACGCGTTATGAAACTGATTTTGCCAAAAGAAAGTAATAAATCTATTGTTGATAGCGTTGGATCTTTAGGGAATGTAATTTGTAATAATGGCCTACTTCAACAAAGTGTGATACTTAACGTTTGGGAAAGTACGTATAAGTTTCGGTATCTCGAATTCATCAAAGTTAATTAAAACTTACATTGTTTTTCCTTTACTTATAAGATTCATTCCCATTTGACACATCAAAAGCGGATGCTTTTGATAAAGCGTCGCCTAAAATCCAACTTATTGCAATAGAGGTCGCACAATTTATTGATAATAAAATTTCAACAACTAATGATTTTTTTGATTTATATAATGAAGAACTTGTGTGGTGTGGTTATAATGATGTATGTTTATAATCATTTTTTTTAAGACGAAATGGTTAGTTGTTATCACAGTATTTTATTATGTTCACAGATATTCGCCAATTGTATAGATTTGTATCATAAACAAGATTTTTTTACATTACTTCTTTTGGGAATTTCATCTTTAGAGAGAATATTGGGTGATGTAAGTGATTAATTTAATAATTTAATAGTTTTAATCCAACACGTAACTAATAATAAATAACATTTCTATGATTTAGATAATCTTTTCTATTCATCTTGATACATTTATTATCCCGTCTCTTATCCGTGATCTTCTCATTGCTCCACCACTTGTTTCTCTGTTGGGAGAAGACATAATTTTTTTCTTACGTTGTTTAATTGGTCCTCCAAATTCAATGAATTTAAGAAATATTCTTTGGCATGGATTCATTAGTCCTAACGAGTTTTTACCTATTCCCGCTAAATGGTATTCTGCTCTCATTATAGTAATCACTCTAACTATTTGCCACAGAGTAAGACTTCGTGGCTTGATAGATTCGTTAAAAAAAAGAGATGGTGCAAGTTTTGAAGGCTTTTTCCATTTATCTCAACCCATGATTATTGCAGAAAATATTATTACTAAAGATGAGATTGATAAAATTTTTGATCAAGAATACCAACGTATTATGTTTGGTCAAAGTTCGTATTTATAAAACTATTTCATTATTTTTGAATTTTTTTTTTTTTAACATCAGTTCTGAATAATCAATAGCAATACCACCTCAATACCCTCACATTCTTATATTAAAAAGCTTACTTTACGAGAATTTTTTCATAATCCATCAAACACATTCAACATGGTCTCTTGCACTTAATTTCTTATCTTATAAACAAGTAATTCTTTTTCTAATTCTATCACTTCCCCTTTTTGAACATTGTTTGCGTAGAATTTTTGTTTGTGTGAATAAAGTGCAAGAACGTCGACTGAGTACTGTGGAAGTCGGCCAATATTTTTTAACTTTGGACATTATTTTGGAAGAAAAAGTTTCTTGGGCCTATTATGATCTAGACAAAGAAATCGAGGACAAAGAACCTAGAAATTTGATTTATGATGAATTTGGAGGTGGCATCATGGTACGTAAATAATTTGTTATTTTTTCATGGTAATAAAATTTTAAATTCTATTTCACTAACTTGATAATAATAAAAAGGATCTTATGCTTGATCTTTTTGTTCATACCGCTGGTCCTAGGTTAAGAGACCGTATAGCACATGGAGAGGCAAATTACCTCGTCACATCCGTAGATCCCAACCCGTTATATGAATACTTTATTTGTCTTTTAGTCGTTCTCTGGTGTAAATATAAATCCAAAGTACCCATGATTAAGCAAGTAGAAGTAATCGAATCTGATAGTTCACAATTTTTTGTAAATGACGAAATAATACAAAATTATGAGAATTGGATATCCAACTACAATTCAAGATTTCACCCTATTCCTTTACTTTTGAAAGAGAGTACTCAGTTGATAATCTTAATCTGGAACTGCTGGAAAATTGCCCGTATAATGGAACAAAAAGGTAGATTTACATTAGGCGATTGGACAGAATTAATGTTTGAAGATCAGAAAGACAGTTTATTCCAGCAGAGCTTTCTCAAGGAAATTATGAAAATGAAAAATATAACAGATATAATACATTTGTCCTGTGAAAAGTTAAATATAATAAAAATAAGATGGTTTTGCCATAGTAAAAAATGTTACTGGAGTCAATTAAGTATTACAAAAGAATGTTTAAAGATAGTTAACCTTAAGCGCGTAGTGGTCAAGAAGGCCATATCTGGTGTTGAAAACGTAAGCCTCCTTGATTTTTTTTTTTTTATCCATTTTCAATTATAAATTTATAGTTTAAATATTGTCGAACTTATTATTTTCTTATATTACTTTTCTACACTATAAAAAACTTGAAAAGCTTTATAATATTTTTAGAACCCTAAATTCTTCAACTTCTCTTTCTTCACGTAAACGCAAAAACACACAGACTCTCTTTACTTTATTGCCATTAATCATGCAACATCTATGTTATTCATTGTTTGCTCTTGATTATGCTACTGAACAAAAATTTATATTAGGTATATTGATATTCATTGAAAGATGGTGTGGATTTTGTGTAGAAGGAAATTGGAAGAATATAAACGATGCATTTAATGAATTTACTAGACGTTTTTCTGATAGTTTATAATATTTATTTTTCAGTAACGTTCTAACTTATTCGAACATTTTAAAATGTGACAGAAATACAAAGGACTTAATATCTAAGCTTTTTACTAAAAAGAAATAGTTTTAAATTAATAACAAAAGATGGTAAATATAAGGAATATAATATAGCAAGCATAGTTAAAAATCCATTGTCGGTCCTTGAAATTTCATTGGCTGCTTATAGTTAACGTTTCATATGAAATTACAATCAACGTTTTCAATAAGCAGCCAATGAAATTTCAAGGATCGACAACCAATCAGGTGGATTTTTAACTATGCTACGTAATATAGCAGGTATTAAATTTTACAGAATTATGTAGTTGAGTAGGGTTAAGATAATAACGTAAAAATTGCATCTTCACCATTTTTTTTTCAATTTTGTTTTTGAACTACATCGTGATGTTATTTTGTTAAGTTTGTTCAGGATAAACTATAAACTCAATATCTAAGCGTCAGATTCTATACTAAGATTTATATACAATAACCAATTGAATTTTTCTTTATTCCAAACTGTTTTCTAAATTTGCTAATCCCGCCCGCACGAAGATTTATATACAATAACCAATTGAATTTTTCTTTCTTCCAAACTGTTTTCTAATTTGCTGATGCCACACGAAGATTTATATACTGAGAACTGGGTATTTGGTCACCGGGACCAATAAACCCTAATATTATTCAGCAACTGGACGACATCATCGAAAGAGGCGTTTAGATTTGGCAGGTGGATGTCCTAAAGCTTAAGTCGTCTATCCTACTAATAACGGACAGGAAATTATTACTCGGGGGGTACAATAATCATAGATTAGACTATGGGTTTACGTTAGTAGAATATTGGGAAGATAATTAAGGAATGTGGGAATTAGATAGTAGGACTTTATTATTTATTGAATAAGACCTATTGTCTCAAAGGGCCAACATGGCCTTTATTTCTAATGAAATTTACTACTTGCATTCGGGAAACTACACTGTCTTTATCTACTACATTAACTATACTAACAACATTGCCCCTATCATCCTTATTAACCACGTCCCCTACGTATTCCTTCTGGACCAGAAGTATCGTTGGTCCTTATCGCTAATGTGGATCATGTGATCCATGTGGACCGTGTGGACTGTGTCATCTTTTTCCTTTTTCATAACAATATCCAACATTACCGTTACGTATAGCATTTTCCATCTCAGCAAATTTTTGATTATAAATGAATGCTTTATGTTCATCCTTTTTAACCCCTATTCCACGTTGATAACAGTTGCCAAGCGCAAATATTCCATTAGCGTTCTCCATCTCTGCAGATTTTTGATAATAAATGAATGCCTTATGTTCATCTTTTACAACTCCAATTCCTTCGTCATAACAATGACCAACATTGTACGTTCCACTAGCATGGCCCATATCAGCAGATTTTTGATAATAAATGAATGCTTTCTTTTCGTCTTTTTTAACTCCAATTCCATCTTGATAACAATATCCAACATTATTTGTCCCACTAGCGTCTCCCATCTCTGCTGATTTTTGATAATAAGTGAACGCCTTATATTCATCCTTCTCAACTCCGATTCCTTTTTCATAACAATGTCCAACCTGAAATGTTCCGCTAGCATCCCCCATCTCCGCAGATTTTTCATAATTAGTGAACGCCTTATGTTCATCCTTTTCAACTCCAATTCCTTCTTCATAATAATATCCAACATTACATATTATTTTAGAGGTCTCCATCTCTGCAGGTATTTCCTCTTTAAAAGATAGAATAAAGTCGATTTCTGAATCAGAGTAAATTTTATCAAAATAAACTTCATCGGAATAAACTTTATCGGAATAAACTTCATCTGAATAAACTTTATCAGAATAGTTAATTTCACCACTTTTTATTTTGTTTATTAATTGCAAAAATCTTTCACGAGTCTTGGATAATTCTAATAAGATTTGTTCATCACTTTGCCATTTTGTAAAAGCTTCCACGACTTTGTTTACGGATGGACGTCTTTCCGGCTCTTCGTCCCAACATTGTTTCATTAAATTAATATAGCATGTTTCTGTACCATCGAAGATTGGTGGCTTTAATTTGTCGAGTACTATTTTCTCTTGCGAATGTGAGCCAAATAATTTGTTATAATAAAAAACTACTGATATTCCATATAAAATTTCCCACATAAGAATGCCAAATGAATAAATATCTGATGCTTTGGTATATGGTTTTCTATTTTTAACTCTCGGATCCATAACTTCTGGTGCTATGTATGGTAAAATTCCACAAACCTCATCAAATTTCACTTTCGAATCTGTGTTAATTGATATTGAAAGTCCTAAATCTATAATATATGCACTGTTTAACCTTTCTAGCAAAATATTACCACTATGTAAATCTCGGTGAATAAGATCTTGAGAATGAATTATTTGAAGATCAGAAGCAATACAATGCAATAATTTTAATTTATCTTTCCATTCCATGTGTGCTACAGGGGCAAGATTACTACGCAAAGAACCCATTGATGCTACTTCCATAACAAGAATGTAATTTTTAGAAATAACATCTTTTGATATTCCAAAGCATCTTAAAAATTTTGGATTTTTATTGCCAACATCACAATATGCTTTTAACTTTAGTATTAAAAATAAATGTTAAAATGTAAATTGTTAAATTTTCAAACATGTTTGCACATAAAAATTAATTTACCTCTTTCAAAAATTCTTCAGGGTGTTCTTTTGATTCACGAAGCACTTTAAGTGCAACAGACCTTTCAGCACGTAAGTTTGGATCGAACCACAAAGCATGAAATATTGTTGCAAATCCACCTTGCCCTATATTATTTTGAATTTCAAATTCGTTATAGGGAATCCAAGATAATGGATATTCACTTTCAGCTAGTATTTTTTTTACACTATCATCAATTTCTAAATTTTCATATATTTTCCTATTTGCTATTTAAGAAGATTAAATTGTTATTTTTAAATTAATTGACAAATAAAAATAAATAACTTAAATAATAACCACCTAACATTTGTTTCCGTTCCCTGAATGTTTTTTTTTTTTTAAAAAAAAGAAGAATATAGTTATTAAAAAAGAAAATTTGTATAAATTATAATAATAGTATAAAGAAACCTACCTCTGGAACCATTCAACAGCCTTTTGTAGATCTCTTGTTGTTCCAATTCCATCTCTATAACGTTTCGCAACATTATACATTCCAATAACATAACCCATCTCTGCAGATTTTTTATAATAAATGAATGCCTTATGTTCATCCTTTTCAACACCAATTCCATTATCATAACAGAATCCAACACTATTTGTCCCAGTTGCATGCCCCATCTCTGCAGATTTTTGATAATAGATGAATGCTTTATGTTCATCCTTTTCAACTCCAATACCTTTTTCGTAAAAGAATCCAACATTAAATGTTCCATCTGCTGATCCCATCTCTGCAGATTTTTGATAATAAATGAATGATTTATGATCATTCTTTTTAACTCCAATTCCACTTCTATAACAATGTCCAACACCAAATATTCCACTAGAATAACCCATATCTGCAGATTTTTGATAATGAATAAATGCCTTATGCTCATCCTTTTCAACTCCAATTCCATTTTCGTAACAATGTCCAACCTTCCATATACCATCAGTATTTCCCATATCAGCAGATTTTTGATAATAAATGAATGCTTTCTTTTCGTCTTTTTCAACTCCGATTCCATTTTCATAACAATACCCAACATTATATATTCCCTTAGCGTTCCCCATCTCTGCAGATTTTTGATAACAAATGAATGCCTTATGTTCATCTTTTTCAACTCCATTTCCATTTCCATAACAATATCCAACATTAAATATTCCATCAGAATAACCCATATCTGCAGATTTTTGATAATAAATGAACGCCTTATATTCATCCTTTTCAACTCCAATTCCTTCAGAGTAACAACATCCAACGTTAAATGTTCCACCAGCGTGCCCTATCTCTGCTGATTTTTGATAGTAACTGAATGCCTGATATTCATTCTTCTCAACTCCAGTTCCTTTTTCATAACAATATCCAACATTATATGTTCCACTAGCATGTCCCATCCATGCAGATTTTTGATAATAAGTGAATGCCTTAAGCTCATCCTTTTCAACTCCAATTCCATTTTGATAACAATTTCCAACATTATTTGTTCCATTAGCATGTCCCATCACTGCAGATTTTTGATAATAAATGAATGCCTTAAGTTCATCCTTTTCAACTCCAATTCCTTCAGAGTAACAATATCCAACGTTATATATTCCATCAATATATCCCATATTTGCTGATTTTTGATAATAAAGAAATGCTTTATGATCATCCTTTTCAACTCCAATTCCGTTTCGATAACAATATCCAACATTACATGTTCCACCAGCATCCCCCATTTCAGCTGATTTCTGATAATAAATGAATGCCTTATGTTCGTCCTTATCAACACCAATTCCATTCTTATAACAGTTTCCAAGAGAAAATATTCCATTAGTGCATCCCATCTCTGCTGATTTTTTATAATGAATGAATGCTTTATATTCATCCTTTTCAATTCCAATTCCTTTTTCGTAACCCAGACCAACATTGTGTATTCCAATAGCGTCCCCCATCTCTGCTGATTTTTGATAATAAATGAATGCTTTATGCTTATCCTTTTCAACACCAACTCCGTATTGATAACAATATCCAACTTCATTTGTCCCGCTGGTGTCCCCCATCTCTGCTGATTTTTGATAATAAATGAATGCTTTATGTTCATCTTTTTCAACCCCGATTCCGTTTTCATAAAAATAACCGAGTTTATATGTGCCTTTAACATGCCCCATTTCTGCAGATTTTTGAATATAAATAAATGCCTTACGTTCGTCCTTTTCAACCCCTATCCCATGTTGATAATTGTATCCAAGGTTATAAAAATTAGTTGATTTTTTATGATGAATCAAGTTATTATAAATCTTCATTTTACTTTTGAAATATGAGAAAAAA